GTCGATGAGTCGGTGCTCTCGCAACACAACTCTATGTTAAAAGTCCTATAAATACTACTTATGTGTAAATTATATTCAAAACACCATAAAAAGCACTCGAATCTCATTTGAAACGTAAATCCAAACTCAACTAATAGTACAAATCAATGCAAGAATTAAGCCATGGCTTAAAAGTAGAGTTATAAAAATTCAACACAAAAAACTTTTTATTATAGAAACTTTTTTTTATTAAAAAAATCTTTTAAAAATAGCGAACATTTTTAACGACAATTCGCTATAATCTCTAAAAGGAGTGAAAGATTTATAATAAATTACTTCAAAGTTTTTAAAAGCACAAAAAAAACACACAATTCTGTTGTAAAATACTTTGCGAGTTATTGCTAATAACTTATTGATCAATAAATAAAAGACAACAATATTTTTGATTACAAGGAAAATAATTTATTGAATCATAGAATCAAGAAATAAATGATTGTTTTACATGAAATCAAGTGACAAAATAATCATAAAATACAAGTTAATAATAATAATAATGTGTTTACGAGAAGTGGTCTTCTCTGTCAGCGCCGGCGTATTCGGAATCCTCTAAATTACTGAAGTTAGAGAAGTGAGCGATTCTGTGGTTCTCGTGATAAAACTCTTTGGGATTCGATAACTGGAGTTCGTATTTCATGGATGAGTCGTGACGAACACCTGTCCATACAATTCACACATTTTAATATATTATACTTCAATCGCTTTTTCATTGATTCAGAAATAAATTAACTTTTGAAAACTAACTATTTAAAAATAGAAATTAGTTTTCAAGTGTTTAGTCATTTCAAGTGTTAATCAATGTTGGGTTTAATTATATTTTCATGAGAGAGATCAGGTGTATAGTAATGCCCCCGCAATGGGGTACTCATCAAACCGTTCATTTGCCTAATGTTTTGCCACAACACGAATATCTCAATGATTTGGAACCGTTGGGTNAACTTCAGTAATTTGGAGGATTCCGAATACGCCGGCGCTGACAGAGAGAGAGAGAGTACATACCCATAAAGTTGTAATTCCAAGAGCCCTGTGCGGGAACCATATAGAAGCCGAGGAAACGGTCGGACAAAAGCATTTGCACCCTTTCGTAATGTGAGGGCAGATATCCCTTAGGATTATTGCCGCGATCGGTGTTCTGTCGGCCCCACTCATAGCCTCCGGGCGTCAGTTTATAGGCTGTGAGAGAGCACGAGCCGGGAGTGAAACTGCATGTAATGACAATAGTTTTGTCCGCATCCCAAGTGCTGTTGTCTGCCATCATCTTCGCGTGGGCTGTGATGTCTTGCGGCGAGAGTTGTGGCAATTCGTTGGGTTGTGTGTGAATCCAACCCAACGGTTCCAAATCATTGAGATATTCGTGTTGTGGCAAAACATTAGGCAAATGAACGGTTTGATGAGTACCCCATTGCGGGGGCATTACTATACACCTGATCTCTTTGACCTGAGGGTTGTCCGCAGGACTCACGCCAAACAAATAGCCGGCAATTTGTGTCCTTAAGTCTGATATAATTATGAACTTTTTGAGTACATTTTTGGGCAAAATATACGTAAAACCAGTTTCTTTGATGTCATCGGACGAGACGTAAATGTGATTTGTTCTCAAATGAAGATTAGTGGCAGAAATGGCCCGAATTCTCCACTCGGTCTTCGAGGCGAAGGTCTGGGTCTCGTAATTACTGGTCGTGGAAGTGATGATTTCGTCGCCGTGTTTGTTGACAGTACGGGTTGTGGTGGCCGTGAGTTGCGACTGTTCTTTAGTCTGTTTCTCAATTTCTGCGATCTGTTGTCTCTGTGCGGACGGCGCGGAGATCTCCATTCCCAGGATTATGTCTCTGATCTCAGACTGTGTGAGCGAAGCCACGTTCACGTTATTCTTTTTGCCGTAATCGGCGAGAATCAGGTCTTTGAGCTGAACCTCCACTTTAATCCATTCCTCATCGGTAAGTGTGGGCCATATGTGATGCGGTTCTGTAATCGTTGTTTTGTCCGGTTTTAGCACTACTTTTGTTCTTTCATTATTCACGTGAAGAGCTCTTAATATGAGAATAAGTCTCGAGAATGCGGTGTAAGAAGAGATGGTTTTAAGCCAATCGTCGTACAGATTGAATAAAACCATTTGCGGTTCAGTGGCCTTCAGAATAAGATCACCAAATTTCTCCACTTTAAGACATGCCTGGAATGGCAGCTGAAGTTCACTGCCTTTGATGACAATATTCGGGAAATCGAGTAAATGGACCTAAAAATGACAAAATAATGTCATGAAATGTTTCACATCTGGGAAACTATAATACATTGAAAACAATGAAAAATAAATTTCATTGAATATTATAGTACTATGAGATCGATGTTATTGTGGCACAAATGCTCACAAATCTATTTTAATAATTAATAAATTTGTATAAAATAAACATTTGTGCGAAAGATTAATATTTAATTTACTAAATGAAAACAAATACTAACCTCTAAGGGGTCTAACATTCCCTTTCGGGTGACAATGATTTGTTTGGGCTGTTCTTCGACGGGCAGTGATCTAATCAAAGCGGCCACTTCTTCGGCGGTCTTCCATTTGGCCAATTGTCCCAACCGTTTCTGTCCGGCCCACACACTCGTGTGGATTATCTTAAGGAACAACTGTCCAGTTCTGGGATTGAATATAAAAATGGCGCCATTGATGGGTTTTGTGGTCAGATTGCCCTCAAATGTCTTATGAATAGTGACTCGATATACGTTAGTGTCGTCGACGAACCAAATGATTTGATTGGAGAACAATTCGCCGTAATTTTGAGACGAGAGATAGGGTTCGGTGGGCTCTGAAGAGTACAATTGAAGACCTTTTCTAATACGTTCTCTCAGCACATAAAGAGCGGGATTTGCTTTCATAATCTTCGCCATCGCCTGTTGTATCAAAGGCTTAGCGCCGGGAAACCAATTGCCGTACGCGGAGTGCAGATTGTATGCCAAGTCTATGCCTATCAACACACCGGTAGGCGATGGGTATATACTCATGTTGTCAGTGGTGTAGTCGAGAAACTTGGCTCTGGCGTAGCGCTCGACGTCGTGCGAGTCGTAATCACCCCAACGTAACTGTACGTCAATCCAGTATTTCTGAGTAGTCGTGCCGTCCATCACATCCTTGGAGTCGGCCAGAAGTGATGGTCGCGAGACATTCCACTTGTAAGCGGCGAATAGCAATATATCGGCACAAGAGCTGTTCATTTTGTATGACTTTCGGGGATGTATTGTCTCCTTCTGAACCGTTTCGATTTCCAGCGCATCCAACTCCTGATCGAACACTTGACACAAATCCATGACAACGCTTTCGTGGATCTTCTGCCACAAGTGAGCCCTAAATATCTGAATCAACGATATCTTGAGAGTGGGAATCTTTCCGTGCATGAAAATGCCCGTCAAGTCGAGCTGCACTTGAAAGCCCACGTAAACGTTGGCCCTATTGATAGTGGGCGACCACCACAGCGTGAACCGACGGTTAGGGATTTGATTCAAACCCGATCGCTGAGCGTTTGTCAACTTCTTATACTTCATCGACTCTTCAAAACCGCTGGCCTTTTCCCAGAAGAGTCCCTCCCATGTGGGGAAATACGTGCCCTTAAACAGCGTGTGTTCGAGAATACCCTCAACGCCTCCCAACGCTTGAATCATATCTGTTCTGTAATTGTTTAGATTCCAGAGTTTTCCGTCGTGTCGCTGATGTGTCCACCAAAACGGGTTCTGTTTCAACACCTGATACTGTTTGAAGTCAGTTCTCACTCGCCATCCCTTATCGTAAGCCAAAGTGTGTCGATCTTTCTGGAAGAGTGTGTTTATTCGAGGTATTCCTCGATCCCAACTGTCCTCCAAGTCTTCTAATGTGAGTCTTCGGTTCTGAGCCAACGCTTCCTGTCGTTTGAGAGCATATTCAGCCCAAACTCTCTGCGAGTCAATGAATTCCGTTTCCCAGGGCTGGATATATCGGTACAAATTGGGGATCACCTGATCCTCATCGTGAGACATACCCGACCGGAAATGTGTTATTCCAACGTCTGTTTGCTTAGACCACCGAAGATCTGACTGAGGGATCAACACGTGACCCATGGATAACATTCCCAAACCGCCCAACTCTTTGGGCGTATAGAAGACAACGGGTGGGAAACGAGACGGCATTTTAGAGTTAAGACCAATTTTAATTCGAGTCTGAATTTTGTTCTCGCATTTCACCAATAGATCCAACAGTTCTTGAGTGTTGACCACAGCCTCGCGATAATAAGTCATTAAACCAATCAAAGCTGTGTTCCATTTGTTGACAATTTTGGTAAAAGTGGTCGAACCCGAGGCCATAAGGATCTGTCGAACTCTGTTGTGAAAGCGTCCCATAGACTCGTCGTCCACTCGAAGAAAGCATTGAGCGGTTCTCTCTTTGGTCACTTCGTTCTGCAGATTCCAGACGCCATCCTTGTGTGTGAACTCTTCGTGAGTCATTCGACATTTGGGCAAAATTCTGCACTCGAAGCCACACATATTGAACAATAAGTTGGGATTGTCTTTACTGTAAACGCAGACAAAACTGTTCTCCCATTGAATGGTAGTCACAGAACGCGGCAAACGATTCTTAATGTCCCAGAAGACGGCGCGGCCTAAATTCACGTCGTGTTTCATGAGTCTCATGCGAGCATCTCTTGGCCAACACTTCTTGTTATTATAGCCGACAATATTCTCGTTGTTAGGGTCGGGATGTTCTGTCAAATAGCGTTGAATCAAATCACGCG